GGTTTTAGTCGCTCCGCTTCGTATCTGATAACGCCCCTTAGCTGTTATAAATTCACTGTAAACCACGGCTTCTTGGGGCTTATTGCTTTATTTTACTTTATTTTATTTAAACATAAGTATTATTATTATTTGATTTATTTTATTTGAACATAAGTTGTAATTAATTTTTTTTATTTGAACATAAGTTGTAATTTATTTTTTTTATTTGAACATAAGTTGTATTTTATATTTATTTATTTTATTTAAACAAGTTTTTTTTTTTTAATGCATTGTATTTAAGTTGTTTTATTTATTTATTTTTATTTTATTATTATTATAATTTTTTTTTTTTAATGATGGTGTTTATTTTGGCAAGAAGACGCCACTCACTCACTTGTTTTTAAAGTAATGTTCTTTCTTCTCCGCAGCAGAATTACTCAGGACAGGGAGGGGGCAGTGGGAACGGAGGAGGAGGGGGAGACGAGGACTACGAGATCCCTCCTATAACCCCACCGAATCACCCCGAGCCGCCGCTGCTGCACCTGATGGACCCCGAGTCCGGCTACCTGTGTCACTCCATCCCTCACAACGGCCTGATCAACCCGTACTCGTACCCCGAGCTGCCCGCCCTCATGATGTCCAACATGCTCGCCCAGGACGGACACCTGCTATCCAGCCACATGCCCTCGGTGAGTCCCGCGCTTCTGCCCTACATAGACAGCACTGTCAGGCGTCAAGACTGCTCCAAACTAATTACATGGCTTTATAAGACAGCAGTTTGTGGATGAGGCAATCCCAGAATGCACTGCAATGAGCTCAAGATCTTAAATGGCAGATGAAGTCGAGGGAAGTGTCTAATTATGAATATTATTTTATTCATTACTGAGGATTATCAATACAAATATCAGTTTAATTAAGCTCTACAATATTTGTGTGTGCACTATGAGTTTTTATTTATTAGTAAAACAGTAGAATTAGTGTGTCTATTTTCTATTAAAGTACTCTCTGTTGACTTGAATTGGGAACAAGCAAAATGTCCAAAACTGTTTGTCAACCTCAAATTTAGCTCAAATTTATAATGTACATAATTGTTTATATTTTAAATAAATATGTATTTTTATTTATTATTTCTTATAATAAATATTAAATATTTATATTGTATATTTATATATTTATAACATTTAATAATATATATTTTATTTATATTTTTATACATCTTTTTATATATTTACAGTAAAAAAAAAAAATACTGATTAAGAATATAGTGTTTATTTAACTGTATTTTCTCATAGTTTCTTGAACCAAAAAATAAAAATAAAAATTTAATCACCAGGATGGCAATATGCATATGCAAATGATATGCATATGATGTGTTGCATAATTAAAGGGGATTGTATGTTCCATATATGGTATTTCAGGCAGGATATTGGGAGGAAAGTAAAGCTTTTGCATGTGCATCTTCAGTTTACTGTGATTTGTGAAGTGATCTTTGGGTGGATGTAGGGTTGTATATGATGTGATGTCTTTACCAATAATGTGATTGGTTATTTTGGTTGAATGGCAGGACTGTATGTTGAGTTTTGTGTGTCTGTGTTTGTAAGAGTGGCACAGAATGAATAGATGAATGAAGCGATAGCTGCTCATCTAAACATCATCACAACTAACTGACCACATCAGGCCTTCGTCTCTACTAAATCTACTCATTCCGCTCTGCTCCTCCTCCTCATATCCAGAGCTCATTACTTTGTGTTTTGTTGCTTAACACAGACTCTGAGGGCTATAAAGAAATATCAGGAGTGTCGTCAAATCTGCCATCTGTGGAAACTCCCTCATAAAGCGGAGAAATCCACAGAACAATTCAGAAACGCTGGGAAAACACTTGCTCTTTAAGAGTGCAAAATAGATTTATATTTCATTATAATTATATATTTTTCTTACTCGTGGTTTTGGACTGAAATATTAATTGAAATCAAGTTGAAATAAAAGAAAAGAAATATATTACACTTTGAAAAAAAAAAACATTTTTCAAAGTTGTGAGTAAAACAAAGATTGAACTGAAACGAAAAAAAAATAAAAAATTAAATGAAAATAAAAAACTGAATTTAGTACTGAAAAGTACTAAAATTACTGAAAAAGTAGTACAAATAAATTAAAGCTAAACAGAAATATTTAAAAATGTATAATAGAAATGACAAAAGCATGTAATAAAATTACTAAAACTAAAATTAAAAATAAAAGCTGATTCAAAATATTAATAAATATACTACTGTAATACTAAAATAATATTGAGGAATTCTTCTTTAATAGCAAATTGCACTCTTTAAGATTAACTAAGTACTAAAATTACTAAAATTGAAATAAAAATAAAGCTAAACAGAAATATAAAAAATATTTTTAAAAAATGACAAAAGCATTAACTAAAATTAAACATAAAAGCTGATTAAAAATATTAATAAATATAAAATATATTTTTAACTATAATAAGCGCTACGTACTTAGATTATTAAATGCATATAAAAAAATCTAAATTGAAATATAAAAGAATAATACAAATTTTTAAAACGCATGTAACAAAATTAATAAAACTAACTAAAATAAAAAAAACTAATTCAAAATATTAATAAATATTACACTACTATAATACTGAAATAACACTGGACAGATTTTGTGAGATTCACCTCTTTTAAACAAAACACAGTGTGTTCTTTTATATGCCCGGGCTTTATTATTTCTGACTTTTGATTATAAAAATCAATGAATTCAATGCATTAGCAGGACAGAATTTAAATTCAACTCAACTCTGATCATTCTTCTAATGACTCTCTACAAAAGAAGGCACATATAATGGACATCAGGCAGCATGACAGCGGTTCTGCATCCGTATGAATCTATGCATGCAATTTCTTTAGCTACCAGAACGCATTAAATCAACCATTCTTTCATTTCGAGATCCCATTTCTATATTGACACCCATCGAGCGGGTGAATAGAGTGTGCTAGTCAATAATACTGACGATGGACTGCCATTTTATTCCCATTTCTTCCCCAAGCAAAGTTCTTTAACCATGCAGTGATTATGTTCTGTAGTATTTGTGCTGTAAATTTCAGGTTGTTTCTGGTTGAGGCATTCGTCAGGGTTTATATGTCCACAATAACAATGATAAAACCAATCATTTTTTGAAAAGCTATATGCTCTGTGAGCTGTATAAATGGGATATATGTATTGTGCCCTATTCATTGCGATGCTGATAACATTCCATGCTTTACTTTGACCTTTTATGACCTTTGCCTCAGTCTGAGTTTGATGAAATGAAATTGTAGATTGCTGATTTTGTCTTGTTCAGTAGATCGATGGCATTCAAACACTCTATACAAGCCCTGGTTGCTTTATCAGTGTTGCCACAAACAGTGTTCTGTTCTGTTCTGTTCTGTTCTGTTGTGTTCTGTTTTTTCTTTTTGTGTTTTGTTCTGTTTTGTGTTTGGTTTTGTGTTTTGTTTTGTTCTGTTTTGTGTTCAGTTTTGTTTTGTTTTGTGTTCGGTTTTGTTCTGTTCTGTTTTGTGTTCAGTTTTGTTTTGTTTTGTGTTCGGTTTTGTTTTGTTTTGTGTTCGGTTT